ACTACAAATTTAAAGATTTAGAAACTAAATATTTAGAAGTCAAAAATTTCTCATACGTTGCTTCTAATTTTATTTATAAAAAAATTATCAATTTTAATAAAAAAACAGTTATATATCATGAATTTATATTATTTTAAAATATTTATAATTGATAATATTAGTAACTTAAATATTAAATAAAAAATATATATCCACATGTATAAATAACAGGTGAGTGACTTGCTAGTATAAATCTCATAATAAATAAAGATATAAAAAAAATATTTATTTCTTATATTGTATTAACATTAATGTTAAAAGAAAACCTCTAAAAGTACATTTTTTAATAAAATTTGATTATTTAAATAAAAAAAATGAAAAAGTAATGTTAAAATTTTTGTATCCATTAAACATGACTAAGAATTAAGGTGGCGAAAAGAGGAGGGTGGTGTGGAAAGAGAAGGTTGGGGGGCGTTGTGGCATATTCCATAATACCAACCCCTCCAACAATATTTGACGTAAAAAAGTGCTTTTGCTTTGTTCCGAATATATTACAATCCCAATCCCAATCCCATACACCTCCTTATCCTTAGTTATCCAAAACGAACCCATGAGAGAATGAAGAGAATTATTAAGTACACTCTTAACAAAATTCCCTCCACTTTAGACCCTCTTTAAGACCATTCCCCATGTGATCTTTTCCAACCCTTTATTCATTCATTGCTATTAATTAACATTAATACACTCTCCTCTTATCGTTAATTAAGCCTCATCTAATCTAATCACCCTCATCTACCTTTTTGGATACCTTCCCTGACTAACATTTTCATAAACCACTCATGCATAGTCTTATCAAGTTCATTGAATTTATATACATGCAAGATTCTACCCTATAATATCTATTTTCAGTGCTATCCAGATCCCACCATCTTCATTCACCATTCACACTCTAACAATTATTACTCCATCATATATCCAATTAACCCACCCATGTGGCTCATTTCAACGCCACAAACTCGGTTTATTAGTATGCCAAATCTGCAAATGTTGCAAGTATACTTGTTATTTACAATTGTAAAAAATCATAATTTTGTTATAGTTTTTTATAAATATTTTACTTAATGATTACCTTTAAAATAATGTTTAACCAACTATTTATATAAAATAATTAGTTAAAGAAAACGTATTATATTTTTGTGATTTTCTTTATTGGTGTTCTTATGACACTGTTTGACAGTTGTGATAATGAAATTAAGTTAATTTCAAACAATTCAAATACAGACTTTATTCTTTATGACCAAATGCATTGATCAAATGACATGGGAGAATTTTAGTACAACGAACAATCTCGAATGTGAGTTCTTAAGAATGTTGAGCTTAAAAACCTCAGAATAACAATTTTATCACTTAGAATAATTTAATTTGACTCAACTCAAATTAGTCAAGCACTTAATACTGTGTCCAATTATAAATAGTATAAACCAAAAATGGCAGATTTTATTTTTATTATTATATGGATGAATATATTTTAAGTTTTTAACTATTCATATTTATAAATGCTGCAATGAAAATATTACCCATATTTCATTTTGATACATCATAGACTCCACGATGAATATAGCCAATAGTATTTTTATTTTCTTTTTTATTCCAATATTGAAGCACACCTAAAATTTGTGGGCCTGATTTGATCGTTTCCATTTAGAGAATGATAAATATTGCTTTTCCATGTTGAGTGTGCATCTACTAGTTTTCTTATAATATCTGGCCAAAAACCCTTTTTCTCAAGAATCTTCTTAACATGTTGAAGAATGCCAAATTGTGTTTGATGGTATAATAAAATACCGCTAACATTACGATGCATATTATTCCCATGTCACTTAGGCCAAAATTTAATAGACAAATAGAAAATCCTATAACTGCATCCAACCAGAGAATTGGTATATCTGGCCCCAAAATCTCAAAGATTCTTTGAAAGATTTGATTGAACATAACCCAACCATGGGTTTGGGAGTTTTTTTTATATTATTATTCAAAACGAGAAGAATACACTTTATAAAGAACAAATCAACTTTTGATAATATACATTGATAGATAGATGATTTTGTATTTGTTGAATACAATAACAGTTGTTTGATCTAGGAAATACAAGTTGTTGATTTGTCTATAGTTATTAATGTAACTATACTTTATTTGGTAATATATAGAAAATGCCAAGTAATAATAAAGTACATAATATAGAGTTATTTTAAATTTTTTTTAAAAAATTAACTAAAAAAACTGGATTAAGTTTTAAGTCTACATAAATGTCATAATTTTATCAATTAATCCCTCATCTATAGAGTAATAAAAATTATGATATTTAAATAGATTAAATAAATAAATCAAAGTATCTCCTTAATATTAAAAAAAGTACTTTATGAAGAACTCATTTAAAAAATTAAAACAAAAAAAAAAGAAAAACTAAACCAATTGCAAATTTTATAGGACAAAAACTTTTTAAGCTTTAAGAATATCATCATAACTAAATAAGTGTTTTTAGAAAATAAGATTTCAAAATTTTATTTTATTTTTGTAGACTTCTACAACGACTAGCAGTAATAATAAAAATAGGTACTCATACTACTATACATATTAAAAATAATAATTAAAATTGAGAAAATTTCCCTTTAGTACCGAAGGATGCATCCCAATAAAGAAGTTTTTTTCTATATATATTTTTATTTATTTATCTAAAAAATACCAAAAATAAATAAATATTTTATTTGGATTAGCTATTAAATTTAATATTTTAAATTTTATCAATATAAAAATATATTAATAAAAAATAATCATTAATATTATAGATAAAATAAAAAATTATCTATACAAATAAATAATAATAGTATTTCAATATTTTTGTTATATTACAAAAAATACCCAATAAAAATATATATTATTTTTAAAGTATAAAAAATAAACATTAAATTACTTGCTCAAGTTAATAACTTTTTATAATTCATTGAGTTTGATTAGTTTAACTATTGAATTCTTCTTCAATTGATCAAATTCAAAAAGAAGTAATTAATAATTTATTAGAATTTATTTTAATGTCTAATATATATATATATATATATATATATATATTTAAAATATAAATAAATATATTAATTATAGAATTACAAATATATAATTTTAAAAAATTTAATATAAATAAACAGTATAAATATATAATTATACTCAACCATCGAAGTGACATAATTTAATATTTATGAAAAATTATGAACCGAAGTTATTTCTAAAATAACTTCATCCTTACTCATTAAAAAATATTTAATAATTAAAAGATAAAAATAAATAAAAATCATTACTTACAAAAGGCTAAGATTGAGAATGTGACTTAAGATGAGATCTTATCCATTTTATTTTCTCGTTGTGTGTGTCATTCTTACGATTTCACCTTTTGCTTTCAAATTCTCGCTATCACCGAAGCCATCAAATTCGTACCGTAATCAAATTGGTCCCAATGTCGTTTTGTCTGATAAGATATTACTATTAAGATAACAGTTTTTTAACGTGTGATTAAATTACATTTTAAAAAAATTTAAAATAATTATTTTTATTAAAAATTATAATGTTTGAAATTATTTATACATTAAATATTATAATATTTATTATTGTTGATAAAAAATTATTTTATATAATTTTTGTTGGATACTTCTGAATACATATAAATAATTTAAATAAAGAAATTAACAAAAAATACTTATTCTTCAATTTAGAGCATATTTGGTTTAGTTAAAAACTCCATTTCAATAATATAATTAATCGAATAAAACAAATTTAATATCAATTTTTTAACATACATAATAAGAATTATTCATAACTTTTTTTATCAATAAATATATGATCTAATGCATTAAAAAGATTAAACATTGATTTTTTTAATAAAAATATTAGTAATTAATTAATTATTTCTTATGTATTCCTAAATTTATATTAAAATTTAATTTGACAGTTGAATATGTAATAAAAAAAAAACAGTTTTAAAGATGATTCTTTTGTTTCAATTTCTTTAAAAAATATTTTCATAATTAAATCATAAAAAGGTATAGAGTTATTTGTAAGAATAAGTTTTGTTTTTAAATTACTTCGTCCAATCCCTTTAATTTGTAATTTAAGGTTGCAACACAAAAAAAAAGAAGAAATATAACTAATATTGTAATTTTTATGAAGGTTTTTAAATAAATTTTATTTTATTAATTATTTTTCATATTAAATAATTTATTAAAAAATACATACTAAATAATTTATAAATATAAAATTTAAATAACTATTCATTACCATCATAAAATTATAATAAAATAAATTAATAAAACATAAAATAAAAGATAATGATGGGATTAATAAATTATTAGGAATAAATCAAAATAGAATTAACTTTATTTGTTATTTAAAATAATTTCTTTTGTTGATATTATAATTTCCTTTATGATCCAAATCATCAAATAAATTTAAATATAACTACAAAATTTATTTAAAAAAACAAATTTTGAAAGTCTAAACAATTGATATTTAATTACAAAATCAACCTAAAAATTAAATTTAAAAAATAATTGGTAAGAGAACTAGTTAAAACTTTTAAAAAATGTATTGATAGTATTTTTAATATAAAAAAATATTTAATTTATAATGAACACCCTTAATTACCTCAAATGCCTCAGAGAAATAATGAGGGATACGACATGAAATAATTTATCATTAAGAGAAAATAAAATGAGGGAAAATTAACATAAAATTATTTAATTTTGTATAAAAAGAATCTGAAATTATTATGAATAGATTTAAGAAGGGAAAAGAGAGTAGAAAAGGTATTGATGGAGGAGCATGACAGATGGCACGATGGGTTTGGATTTGGGAATGATGTGGAGGTGGGGCCCAAGAGGAGAGGCACGTGTCGAAGAGAGGGAAAATGAATGAGAGGCACATGGGAGCAGCATATTTTGGGGCTTATAAATAACCCTTAACACATTACACATTCCACACTACACACATCTTTCTGCCACCCATCACGTGCTTCCCTCTGCCCCCTCTTCACCTCTGCTCTTTCTGCACCCTCTCTTCTCTTACCAACTGCAAATCTTATCCATTGTTTTGGTCGTTACTCCATTCTTATCAATCTAGTAGTTTTGTTCGTTGGTTGACAAACATCTTCACCTACCTATATTTAATATATACCTTTCCTGTTCCTTTTGTTTAGTACTCTCACACTAGACATGGAGAACAACAAAAAGAAAGTTGGAGGGGCTTCTGCTTCTGCTTCTGCTTCTTCCTCATCCCCCACCAACTTTGATCATCTTTTTGGTCCCAAAGACCCCTCCACCACTTCTTCTTCATCCACCAGCATCTTTGGCTCCATTTTCCCACCTCCATCCACTGTATGCATGCTTTTTTCTCAATCTTATACGCATACCCTTCCCTACATGTTTTTTTTTATTATTTATTTTCAGATTAACAATTGTTAGCTTAATTTGGCATGCAATAATATGGAGTGTGGTTACTGTTTCTGAGCTGACCCTACAGGTCTTTTTCCTGAATATGATAGCTTTTGTGTGTTAGTAATGACTAATTAATAACAAATTAAAGGAAACTAATTGAAGGGCTTATAGGGCTTATATAAGGTCCTTCAGCGTTCGCTTCAGTCAATATATTGCACCTTTTTTGCATAATAGTTGTTGCATGACTAATTATAACTGTAAGTCTACAAAACGAGCTTTTAATTTAGCTTTTTTATCATGATCTATTGTTGCTGTAAGAGCTTTGATCTCTGAGCGATATATATATGCATAGCATATACTTGTTTGTTTGTGGAAAATAATCACATATGCTTAACCATGTTACTCTTTTGTGACCAACTTTAGGTTGGAAGGAGAGATTCAACAAAACAGGACATGATGGGATGCAAAAATTATGGAGCACCAGGTTCGTGAGACATATACTACTTTGACTCTTGGGTACTAAATGTGCCCTCTTTCATCAGTTCATATCAAATCTTGTCTACATACAGGGAACATATGGCTTTTTCAATCCAATTTTGATGTCTGGGCTTATTTAGTAAAGCTTCAATTGGATTCCTTTCAGGCAATTACAGAAACAAAGGTGAAAGCAGTGGTGTTTCCAACAAGAATACTAGTACCAATTATCAGAATGAGACAGTGGAGCCCAGCTACTACAGTTCATCAATCTATTATGGTGGTCAAGAAAATTATTCCCCAAGAACCAGGACCACTGAATCCCACCATATTGTGAGTGCCTTAATTCCCATTCTTTATCATAATGGTCCATGGTCTTGTTTGGCAAAAGGATAATTATATAATATATTATTCACTAGAACCACTGTTTTTCTTAACAAAAATGTTACACTCTTATACTTTGTTTTTTCACATTTCCCTTGAGCTTGCCTTCACATGTTAAGGATTCAAGAAAGAAAAACTTTCACTCTTTTTTTCTCTCTTTCCTCTTTTTCCCACCAGGATATGTGTAAAAGAAAAGTGGATAAATTCAATTATAGAAATTATATTGCTATTTCCCTAACTATTATGCTAATTAAATTCAACCACTAAAATAATTTATTTAAATTGATGGGTATCAATTTAATATAATTTTTTATGGTTAATTTATAAAAAAAAGGGGGAAATATAAATTTACAATATATATATATATATATATATATATAATTTAATTACTTTTATTGATGATTTATTTTCCATTTATGCAGCCGGCTCATTAGCTATAAATAAAATAATAGTAATTAGCCATACATTTGGCATTACTATATAATCCTTTATAGTTTTTAGTTTACATACATAGGTGTGTTGTATTTTTGTAATTAAGTACATAACATTTAACATCTTTGCAGTTCGAGAAAGATAAGAACGATGATGATGATTCAAATGGTAATGACTCAAACAGTGCTTCAAGAGGGAACTGGTGGCAAGGTAGGACAATCTTGGTTGCCCAGTAGCTAAAGCAATAATAATAATAAATAAATAAATAAACTACAACAATAATAATATTCTAAGTGAACCACAGTTTACTCACTTTAGTGTACCTTTCTTATGTTGGGTTTCTGCAGGTTCTCTTTATTATTAACATCAGCAATAGTATGCAAACTCTTCACCCTGAAGACCAGGTATTTGAAATTCAAATTTAACTCCTGTTTCTTTTCCTTTTATGTTTAATTGCCTACAGGAGTAGAATTCAGGAGGTTATTAGCTTATTTGATATCCATTTTTTGAAACAGAAACAGGAAATTCAAACTGAGGGCGATAAAGATGTAAAATGTAATTAGTAATGGACTAGGAAATTCTATTAACATTTAAAAGAAAATAATATATAAAGTTTTAGCCGATTAAGCAAACTGTAATAACTTCATAGTTTATAATATATGTATAATATTTTTTATTATATTTGTTAAGACTTTGTCTGAATTAATACATGAAATAAATGACTCCATTTTAACTGGATTATCGAAATTTTGTTTGTAAAAAAAATTATATAATTTTTAAAATTTATTAAAATACTTAAGAAAATTTTTTTACTTCATAACTTAGATAAATGATGTTTTAACTGTTTAAGTAATAATTGTAATTCTGAATGAAACATAAGTTATATTAGAGTCTTAAAGAAAGAAAATATAAGTTATTTAAAAAAAATGGTGATTTATGTTGGGTTAAAGCTCTAATTTTGTGTATAAATTGCACTATTTTTGAACAATTTACGTATAAAATTTAAATTTCGTTGCTTCTGTATGACTTGTATATATTAAAAAAAATGCATATTTTGAGTTGAGTGAAACAAGGGATTTTAAATTTTGCAATTTTTTTGTTTGATATAAAAGAAACAAGAAAAACATTGCAACTTTATATCTAAATTCTCATTTTTAAACAAATGGAACTAAACACTTTATGGTACATTCTGACGGAATTTGTTGACAACGTTGCAGGATGATGATCCCCAACGTACGTAGAGTACGCAGTAACAGTACTCTACTCTACTCTAATTTACTGTGTGGAAATAAAGACATGGTAGCGGATACTATGAATCTACTCTCTAGTACTCTTTTGCATGTGTTGAGTCCTTTTTGTTACAGCTCGCACATAAGTTAATTGCATAACAAGTCAATCCTCAACGTAGCTTGAAACCATGATTACTCCTTCTTGTATTTTATAGTTCATAGTTTACACAAAAGGTTTCACGTGGGTAACTGACCTTTAGACTTTATTAGTGTTTTATAATTGTGTGATCTTGTTACATGTAATTTATGATTTCTGGTTCCTATCCACTGTAGTACTATGGTATATGTAACTATGTAGCTTTCTGTCATTTATAATACCACATTGTCATTACTCACTTGACTGTGCCGAAAACATTTTGTTTTGCGAGAATAATGTCATTACTCACTATCAGACATTAATTTAGAATTTTTATTTAATTTAAATAATGTCTTGAAAATTTTTATTTAGAATTTATTCGATAACAAAAATTCAAATATTTTAAACAATTTTTAAAATCATAGAAGTTTTATCGCATGAATTTTTAATTTGAATATTAAAATTTTTAAATAGACATAAAAAAATTCAAACCATTCATCATCTAAGTTTTTTTTCATTGAAAAATCTTATTATTCGATTTGAACATCAGACATTTCTTTTGGAGTTAAATATATTAATATTTATAAAATTAAATTATTTAATAAATTAATCATACAATTAATTAATTTATGATAAATAATTTAAAAGTATATATAAAATAGTTTTTCTTAAGCTAAATATATTGAACATTAACACCTCCTTAATTAAGACCTTAATGAAAATGTTGGATGGTTTGCCCATCTCAATAAACAAGGGCCCAACCAATGTTGCTTTCTAATTACTCCCGTTAATCATATAAATTAAATATAAAATTTAAATAAATTACTTTTATTTTTAGTTTTTTATCATTAGTATTTTTTTTAATTGAAAAGCATATAGAAAAGTATCACATTACAAAGATATATCAACTATTATCTAAATAAACATACTAGATTTTTGGTAAAAGCTACCTGGGATGATTAGGTCTAGGAAGCTCAGAAGCTATAACACCAACATATATCATGATTTAAATATTGTCCATTTTAGGTAAAGACATTATTGCAAGTTTTTGGTTATTTGTCTATTTAGCAACATTTTTGTATAAGTCAATGTTTACATACACTTTTTAATTTTTTTTTATCACGTTATATTTATAATTTTATGCTTTCTTTTCTCTCAATATTCTCTGAAAGTACATGAAAATTATATTTGCAAATTTAAAACAACTAAAAAGGTATTTTAAAATACATAAAAATTATTTAATAGATGAAACATTGTTACAACGCATTCAGAAAAGAAATAAAGAAAGTGTTGCAGCACAACTTATTCATATTGAGTCCCCATAATGAACTCATTTTATTAACGATATACAAAACACACCAACAACAAGTTATAACCTCGTGCACTTTAGTCACATTTTTAATCCTTCTAGGATATATGTATCCTGCAAAAAGATGAGAAAAAATAATGAGCATATTGTACTTTCTAAGAGCCAAATGTGATAACTACTAGCAAATAAATTGATATCTCTTTTTTATATTACTTTAACTTTCTTTAGTTCATACAATGACATAACAATTAACCATGCAAGTTATAAGCCATGAAGACAGTTAATGCACATAAAATGAAAAAATATCAAATAAAGTTTATGTAACATAGCTAGTACCTGATTCATGCCCTAGTGAGCAGAAATCTTAGGAGGCTATTCCTAATTAGAAATGATGATGGCAACGACGAGGAATGGTGATTGCAATTTCAGGATTGATGCCAACTTGCTGAAATGCCCCAGAAGCAAAGATAGCATGCAAGCAAGGAATGCTGACCTTTTCCACCGCTTTGCAGCACTGTGAAGAAACAGGAGCATACACATTCTTTGCAGCTTTTTCGCAGTGACGCAGGTTATGTGTTAACATTCTCTCTGTGCTGAACTTCCCGCATGGACCGTGTTTCTCATCCTCATGATGCCCATGTTCATGCTCATTTTCACCAACGGCCACTGTGATCAGAAGCAGAACAAAGAAACAAACGAACTTGCTCATTGTGATTTAAGTACTTTAATTAGTAGTAACTTCTTCGAGTTTGAAATGTGATATGAAAATTGCTTGGTGCCACGGTCTATATATATTGCTAGATTAGTGAAATAAATACGTAATTAATGTACAAAACTGTGTTCTCAAGCATTTGGACTCGCATTCTTTGATTTCTTGGGAAAAGGGCTATATAGCTGAATGCCCACTGATTTTTATTTTTTTTATTCAAGAAGCTCTCTATAGGGAATAGCTTGAATGGGAAAGCACAGCCTCTGTCTTTGTACGTAGTTGGTACAACTTAGAAAACTCATCCGCTGACATTTACTTTTTTTTTGTTGTAAAGTGGGCAGAGGAAAAACAAATTCAAATAACGAAAAATAGATTTTTTAAAAAGTATTTATAAATAATATATACTAAAATATGAATTTTGTAAAAAATTACAAAAATATAGGAAAATTAAAAATAACTATTACCAATTTTAAAAAAAATATATGAAAGTCATTAGTAATTTTTTATTTTTTATTTAAAAATTGCTAATAATTTTTTTATAATTTTTTTCTAAAACTTCATATTCAGTATATAATATTTTTTAATTTTATATTTAAATTAATTTCTCAACAAAATGAAAGAGAAAAAAATACAAGTGATGTATGATAAAAGTTATTTAAAAAATCCAGTAAAAAAGTGTAAAAATATAATATTTCAGTTAATTATCCGAGAGGGCTTAGGAAATAAACAGTTTGTGTATCTTATTCTTACTGAGGAAATTAATGTAAACAAGATCAAATTAATGGAGACTTTCTATTGTAAAGAATAAAAAAAAAAAACATGTTTTTTAACTTTGCTATTTTGTGACGGGTCATATTATCCTTAGAAGACATTTTATGGTTTATGGATAAGTTAGAAATAGGTTCCATCTTGTGCAGGTTAACTATACGTTGAAGTCAAATTAGTAACAAAGATTGAGAATCTTAACTGTGGAATAAATTTATCATATGAAAGATTCCTTCATGAAATAAGTTAATAAAAATTTGTATGAATTAGATAAATGACTTTAATATTTGTAAACAATTTTTTTATAAATTCTTCCAAAACAATTAGTAAACACAATTTGGTATTATTTTAAGTGAAATTGCTAAGTTAATTATAATTTTATATGGCATACAAGTTTTGCATGACATATTGTTTGAATAATATAAACAGCTGTAAATTACCTGGTGTCACTTCCAATTAACAAAAACAAAACAAATTTCAACCAAAATGAAATTAAACATTTTACCTAGTTTTTTCACCTTATTTTTATCTTGAGGTTGGGAAAAAAATATTTGTTGATAGTAGAATATAGATGAATACAAACTATTTTCAATTCATATTTTTAATCATTTTATCATGGGAGCATGTATTGCTTTTTCATATCCCCAATTTGTTTTTCTATATTTATTACTTTAAAACCCTTTCACTCTATCACTTGCTTGTCCATGAGATGCAAAAGTCTAAAATATAGAATCAAATTCCTTTTTTCAATACAAAAGAAAACTGTTTTTTCTTTGGAGAAACCGCTGTTTAATTTTACTACTAATTAATGTGCCCACAAACACAATGAAGAGGAACTGATTAGGTGTGACAACTGTAAGCGCTCCCTGAAAACCTTATTCATTTACACTTCACAGTCCAATCCAATCGCCCAAAAACAAATCAAATAAATGTGGGCGACGTTGGTTTGCATGTACTGAAACAAGTTTACCAACAATCCTTTCTAATTGCTTTCATTCAATCCGCAGGTTGACCACTTTGTTTGTTCATGTTGACCCAAAAAAACAAGGTAGGTTCGATCTTGTTTCAAGGTTCTTAACTTCTCACCTATTTGATGTCATCAGGATAGAGATAAACAAAAATTTGAGTATAAAATTTAAAGTTATATGCATAAGAATCATTCTCTAAAGAATATATAAAAACTAATTTTACTTTAAGTCACGAAGAGTTGAGATAGAAGATAATAATCTTTTACAGTATGGTATTTATAAGACAGTGAAAATTACATTTTTCAAAAATATTATTTCTTATTAAGGAGATAAGCCCGATCCATTAAAGCTCACAGTTAAAACAAAATATGCACCACTTGCACTTAGATGAACTTATATACAAGGAAGTCCAAGGATAAATGGTTTAATGCGCTAAAGTCTATAAACTCAAATTTGAAGATGTAAATGTAGCTTGAAATTTGTGTTAATATTTGATAAATTATGTTTGAGTAAAATAAAATTGTAATTTTTACATTGTCTTAAAAAATTTATATTGAATACAAATTACTTGTAAACAAAAAGCTTCAGAACATAAATGGATTACTTTAAACTTACTTTCAAATAAAATTTATTTTATAAAATCAAATTCCTTTAAATTCAAGTTTGCAAACATACACTTGATCTCTGTTTTTCTTTTTTCACTTAAAGAAAAAAAAACGTTTTGTTGTGGATTAGTCCAAATTGTTTAAAAACTAGCCCAAAATTGTGTGGATTGTTTTCCAAACTGTTTAAGAACTGGCCTAAAATAAATTGTTTTAAATGGACCAATTACCTTTTTTTATCTCTGATCCTAGGCCTCGCAAGCCACAAGTTACACACACCATGATCAATTTACCAAATTCTAATCTTGTTAAGCTAATTACATGATAGGTACGTAAAGTCTAGTCTTTTTCAGGTTTTAAAAATTTTAATTAATTAAATAAGATAAGCTTGAATAAAAAAAAACATATTAAAATAATCTATTTAAAATTTATAATAATATATTAAATAATTTTATATAAAAATAATGATATAATAATATATTAAATAAATTAATTTTTAAAATAAATAAAATCTTAAATTATAAACTCTAATTCTTAAAAATATTTTTACTACTACATACCTTCTAAAAAAGAAAAAGAAAGTTATACTTAGTAGAATCTATTGCATTACTATTATTTGATTTGTATATGCATAACACTAATTTACATTTATTAAATTTTAATTATTTATTTTGATAAAATAAAAATATATAATTTTATTATGCATATTTAAAATGTTGAATTATTTTTTATAACTTATTTAAATATAAATTTTATAACCTTTAAAAAAATATACTTATTCAGATAGTTTAATAATCTATTCATAAAAAAGTTTAATAATTTATTAAATATTTTTATCTAAAATAAGTCATTAAAAAAGTTAATAAATGAAAATAGACTTTTAAAAAGATAATACTAAACTTAATAAAAATATTGTAACAAATAATAAACAAAACTTAAGCTTTAAAATTATTAAGGAAGTTAAAACTGTTGCATTGCAACGCTGACTTGACTCTATTTTCATCCTTAATTACAAGTGGGTCTAGGCATCCTTGCCTTCAAAAAAAAGCCACTCAGTTTGTTTTTTTTCTCTCTTTTGTCTTCTGGGTGAACATTCTTCTTGTTTTCTAAAATCATCCATTTATTTAAACCATTTTTCAAATAAAATCATCCATTTTTTGCTTTTTTTTTTTTTACTAAAATCATTCATTTGAGATAGGAAATCGTGGATCAAGATCTGGGTCTCTCTGCAGCGGTTGTGTGTTGAATTTTCTTCTATGTCCTTCTCTGGTCCTCTGTTTCTCAAGGTGCCTAGTCTGTTTCTGGGCCTGGCCCCCTACTTCTTTGTAATCTCACAACCAAAACAAAATCCTAGGAAATTGTGATAAAAACTGTAAAACATCTTCTAATTTCCACGAATTCATGTCATACCACATCTCTTCCTACTAAATATAATCTCTGTTTGAGATATCATTTTGTAAGGAAATTAAGAAGCTTATTAAATGCCATCACTCATCACTTCAATCACAATGTATATAGACCATATAAAAAGATAGGCCCTTTTCAGTTTGAAATAAGCTAAACAAGCAAGCCCCTATTTTGTCGGTCACTTTAATCCTTAATTGTATAAATTTTTTACTTTAGTCGCTGACTGTATAAAACATTCATTTTAGGGGGGAAAAATTAATGTAAAGCGATATCGGAAAATAAAGCAAATGATTTTGTAAAATTGGGTACTAAACAAAGCTGTAAGGAAGCTTAAAGGCATGATGTTACTACACTTAAATTTAACCAGACAGTTATTAACCATAACAAGGAGAGAATGTTTCTCCCTAAACGCGGATGAGCTGAACAAAGCTGTTAAAACCTTCAAAAGATACTAAGGGTATGTAGGAGAGAATAAACATTTTATTCTCAATTAAGAGAATTATATAATGTTTATAAATATAAATAAAAAATAACACATTTAAGGTTATCCTAAACTATGATTTATCTCTTTCTTTTTAAAAAACTATAAAAATAGAGAATATTTTTTTTAAAAAAATTATCTTTCCTATCTTTCTCTCCAAACACTTAAATCCCTAACATACCCAAAAGCAATCTAAAGGAAATCCAAACTTAGGGCAATGTGAACATAGGAAAAACTGGATCCTAATTCCTACATCTATCACTCTGAACTGCCTTCAATTCAAAAGCATGTAGACAGAGAACTTAACATTTAGATGAAGATAAACAATGATTCTATTAATACTTTTTGAAACTAGGGCTCAGCTCAAACTCCATCCAAATAAAAGTCTACGAATAAGTTCACAATGCAATTGAAAACCATATTCTATATTTATCATTACAATAAATCTACAACGCAATTGAAAAACATACCCTTTTTTTAGATATAGCATGCATACTTATACACACAAAGTTGACAATCTCATCAGTCATTATCCATTTCAGATTTCAGAGTCAAATTTCAATTCAATATGCGAAATCCGAAACGAAAACCTAAGATACAAAACTTCACCTGCAAATGCAATAAAGTCGCATCAAACAGAGCAACCAAATTGAACGCAATTTCATTGAGCGGAACAATACAAACCCTAGCGAGTGAACGCGTACAATACGACAAAGACGTAGATGAGAAGCGCGATCGGAACCAAAATAAGAAGCGGAACCACAGCAGCTAAAGTGTGAGAGCTTCCACAAGCGAGGGTTCCGAGCTTGATCTGAGCGACATTGACGAGAGCGAGCATGAGAAAGCCACATCCGGCAACAGAGCCGGCGCCGGAGACGAGCATGCCGACGCGGAGGGCGGTGCGGTTGATGTAAACGGCGAGAAACTCGACGGCGTGAGGGTAGTGGAAGGAGGAGGAGGAAGATCGAGAGAGGCGAATGGCTTGTTTGAGAGCGAGAGCGATGAGGCTGGAGAAGAGGAAGGAGCTGAAGGAGTAGACATGGAAGGCGACGAGGTTTTGAGCGATGGTGGAAGTGGGAGCACAAGAAGGATCGGTGTTGAGGCTATTCTGAGGATCGTTGGGGTTCCACGTTAAGCCGATGAAAACGGCGAGGGTGAAGAGAGAGTTCACGTTCACGATGGCGTCTAAGGCTGTGATGTGGACACTCGTGAATGAAGAAGACATTTTGCTCTGCAAGTAGGCGATGCAGAAGATCACTGGAAACGCGTCATGTCAGAGCTTGCCTTCTTCGTTCAAAGAGTAAAAGTTTGAAGCAACCAAATAAAAAAATTGGAATAGAAAATAAAAGAGTGTATTGATAGCTAGTATTTGTTTTAATATAAATTTGGTCGGTTCATTTTTTAATATTACAAAAAAATAATCATTTTTAAGCTTTTTTAAAACGTTTACTTTTTGTTATTTATTTATTATTATTTTATAAGTGCATGTTCATAAATTCGATTTTGACAACTAATTAAATTAAAATTAAGCTCTGATTAAGATGGATGAGAATCAAATGTTGAAGTACTGAAATATGTGTGTTTGATGATCGTGTTGAATAAATTGCACAGGCAAACTGGTCATAGTATTTTACGTTGATAGAATCTTTGAAATATCAATGTGCATGTTAAATATTAAAACTTTTGCAGCCACAGCAAGAAGGGCATTTGGTCTAGTGGTATGATTCTCGCTTAGGGTGCGAGAGGTCCCGAGTTCAATTCTCGGAATGCCCCAAAATTTTCTTTTCACTACGCCCCAATTTTGGATCACTTTCTAGTTTTTATTACAAATTCGAATGCTCCAAGCAAAAATTGTCCGGAGACATTATTAATAAACAACCAAACTCTATTTTGTTTGGTGTAACATAAAAGAATTTGACTTTATCAGTAAAGGTCAACATGATTTTCGGCACATTCGAATTCAAAAAATTGAATACTGTAGACTGAAATAACACTATGAATTTGAATTTTCAACTACCAATAAATATATCCGTGAATGATACAAATGAAAAAAAAAAATTTCATAAATGCTTATGAGTTTGTGCCACCGAATCTCATCTACCTCCCATAATGAGTGCTCTAATTAATAATAATAAACCTTGCTCCTCATTTGGTCTTGTTTTTGAGGGCACATGATTCCTTCAAACGTTGTTCTGGGTGTGAACAATTAACCTCATTTGAGTTGCCGCATATCTTTGACTTTGTCTCTACTCCAAGATAATTTGATAACACTCTCCTCACCCCAAAGCCACGACGATGAGGTTTGATGCCGTTGTTATTGTTGTGGAGAAAAGGGGTTCTCTCCCCTCGTGCAGGACTAATTAGTGGCACAGGTGAAAAGCTAGGTGTGCCTAATCCTCCTTTGTGTGGAGTAGTGCCTGAGACAGACACTGAGGAGAGTGGACGGGTAACCTTCTTCTGCTGAGAAACCACGTTAACTGTAGTAGGAACCAATGCAAACCTCTCCGAATGTTTGGTCAAGTCATCCACATATAGCAAATCATCTATACGGGCTACAATGTTAGAAGCCATGCTCTCCAAAACTCTTGAGTAGCTCTCTAGCACGGATTTTCCAACATCCTGAAATGTGATCAATAATGGGTACTAAGTTTTAATATAAAGTATTAAAAAGTTATGGCATAAATTTGATCATAAAACTTATTAGAATAAGTTATACCCACAAATATTCTTATTACACGTCTAAAGAAGAAAAATTGCATGGAACCAACCTTGTTGCACTGGATCTTGCTAGTGTCAAGGGTGGTTTGACTTAAGCCTGGGAACCGTTGCTTCAAGGAAAGTAGAATGTTTTCAGCTCTATCTGCTAGCAGTTCTCTCTTATCTCCATCAATCATAAAGTCCTTGACTATTTCCCATGATGATTTAGTAGTAGAACGGTTGGGACTAGGTGAGGGCTTAGAGTGAGCTCTTCGACGCCATACATAAATTGCTGCTTCCACGCGGTTAGCAATCTCTAGTGCAACATGTTCTGAGGAGATGTCTAAGCAATCAAGTAAGAACTCTGGAGAAAATTGATCTGATGTGATGTAACGGTAAACAAAATCCCCTAGGCAAGTTCTTCCATTCTGTAAAACCAGAGAAAATACTCTAGTCAAAACCCAAATTAATATTCAAGAGAATGAGATAACTAGATAAATTAACATGCATAAGAAAGATGTGTGCTAGACCCTTATGTTTATATGTAGATAACCAAGTTATGCAGTAATAGTGTAATTAATTTCATTTTATTTGTTTGAGACCTTAGGAAGGAGCTCTAAATATGATTCTGGAACTTCCATTTCAGCCAAAGCAATGCTGTTGATAGCCATTGCTGCTTTTAGAATTTGGTTTGCACATTCTCGAGAGTGATTCAACTGCTTTCTTGAGTCCTCACTGAGACCTGCAGGGGGTACACGGGGTACAGGAAGCCACCACTTCTCTTCTTGCCGCTGAATTGTTCTGCGAAAAGAGGCCGAACCATCTGCATCTGGGGCTACAATTCCTTGATCAATATACCAAAACTCTGTAGTGGTGAAACTGTCTAAAATTTCCTGTGATAAAGAAAATGTACATTAATAATTAAGGCCTTAATTATTCAATGGTGTCTCAGCCAAATACTAGGGTGCCAAGAAAGTGTAAGATCCAATACTCACGAGAAGCATGTTGTCAAGTTTGCGTAGAGCTGGAAGATTGATAAAAATATCTGTCCTAGGCCTGCAAGTCATTACCTGCATAATGCAACATATTATAAACATCATAATCATAATTACCCTTTTGAATAAAATCAGACTTCAGCATTAGGCTTAGGACTAGGTTCAATTTTACCTCAAGCTTACTCCCATCAGGAAATGTTTGCCAAGAAGGTATTAATTCAACAATGTGATCACTAACGCAAACAAGCCATTCCATCTCTCTCTGCCACATTTCTTTCTTCTCAGAAGGTAGAGGTTCTAGTCTCCATAATTGCCCAAATACAGTGGCTACATGTTGCATAAAATCCAAATTTGAATAAGTTACGCAACTTAAATTTATACCAAAACATTTGAAGCATTTGCCAACATAGACAAACTAAACAGTTTCTCAATGACAACATGAGCCTAGTCATTATGTGCAAGAGAGAAAGCATACCACACAGATTAGTAATGGCGTTTGATATGGCCAAAGCAGTACAAACCCCTTTTCCAGAACCTGACATATCTTCACCAAGCAACAATTTTGCAAACCTTTCCTTCATCATGTCAACTTCTGTTTCAATTAAAAATGAGTATAAAAATCAGCACTAATTAAACAACAAATAATGAATATCTGAATATTAATGATATAAAAAGAGATTAATTATTAAATCCAACCAGTTTAACTTGAAAGATATAGAATTTTAAAAGAAAAACTAACCTGACAATTTTAAATGGATAGAGGTAAATTTTGTGTCTTCCAAGTGGGATTTATGTTTATTTTCTTTTTCATCAGAATTTGAGCATTTGGAAACTTTAGCCTTGAGAATAGGCCAACCAAGAGGAGAAGGAGAAGAAGACCCTTTTTGCTTTACTTCTTCAGCAGAAACTGAAGAACTGGATCCACTGAAACTGGTTTCCCTAGACTCTGCACTGGAATCGGTGACACTAGGCCGAGACCCATCTCTTTTCTTTAGAGAATCTTCGTTCTTCTTGGATAAAGCATCCATCTTGGAGAACCACTTTTCCACAACAACGAGGATGAATGAAAGAAAGATTTTTCAGTCCCAAAAGGCAAATGGGGTGTCACAACTCACCCAGATAAGCAAGATACTGAGAACATAGCTTCAAACATAACAATGAGACAACATTGAAGAAAAATCAAAATGTGAGGTGGGTTTAAGGATATATGAAGGGACCGCTAAGGTTGTTTCATGGAAAAGACGATGTAATGATGAAGACGTGTGGCTTTTTTCAAAAAGGATTGTGAGATACACAAACACAAACACACGCACTCACATTCACTCTCAGACAAATTTGATTTCAAGTTTGAAGCTTTTACTATCTGCCATGCCAACGTCTCTTTGGCTTTCGCTCTCAGACTCAGGACACTGTCCGTTCAAAAATTTTAATATAATAAAAAAATTTGAACTTGGTAGCTGTGGCAGAAAGTATAAGGAGGGGTACTAAAAGACACTCGGCTATCATAATTACCTGTTTGCCCTTGCCTTTATTTTCGAACATATTAACTATTTAGGATCTTCTAATTAGGGATTAAAATATTTGTTAAAAAAATAAATAAATTTTTTAATATGTGTCTGCAGATACAGAATAATAATTTAAATATAACATATTTTTAAAAAAAATATACATTTCAATACATTATAATATTAAAAATTTTAAATTTTAAATAAAAATTATTATTTCTTTTTTATCATGTGTCATTAATATACATTAAAATAATATTATTTTAATTACATTAGAAATATGTTTAAAATCATAATAAATATGTTGATAATATTTTTAACTATTACCCTCCTAATTAATATTTTCTTAACTATTATTACTGTTTTGTTAATATTAACACTTAAAAACAATTTTAAGCATTTATAATTTGTATTTTTATCAAGAACGTTTATTGTGCTAAAAATATAATAAATATTTTTATTTTTTATAAAACTTACTATTTTTAATTGTTTACATTATTTTTAAAATTTAAACATTTTCTCTATTATTATTAGACCTTGAACTCGGTTTATTATGGCAACTTTTATACGTGTATTGCACTGAATGAAAATACTATTTTTATTCAAATGGGAAGAATATCATGTTTACATGCTTTTCAGAAGATTTTGCACCGAAGTAATATTTATTACTTACTACTCAGAAAATGTATAGTTTTAATTCAATCCTAATGGAAATGTCATGATTCCGTAAGATTTTGCATGCTTGAGTTACAAGTCGATTATGCTAATTAAAGAAAGAAACATGTGTAGTAATAATAACCTGATAATTTGTGTGGACCATCATGTTTATGTTTTTAAATTTGAATAATACTGTGTATAAAATATTTACATGATTTAATTGAAGATACCACCATAATAAGGCCATAATTGGTCCATCTTGTCCACATTTGCCAACTCCAGCTATCAAAGTTCTTGATGCCATTTATCACCATTGATTTTTTGTTTGATCCGGCTGCATTAAAAAAAACAGCATCCTTATTTAACTCCGAATCGAATTTAAGAGCTATGATTTTTTTTAATAATATCCAACTATTACACCACTAAATTTAGCACACGTGTATATTTTTTTTGTCGGATACCGTTTGGATTGAAATTAAGCATGTCAGCGTTTCATCGCCATATATAAAATATCAATCCGGAAGTTTTTCTTATTTATTTGTATATAGTATTTGAAAATAATATATACTAAAATGTAAGATTTTTGAAAAATTATAAAAATATAAAATTCAAAAATTACTATTATTGAGAGATGAAACAGAAAAAAATTGTAAAGTATCACAATTTCTTATTTTTTTTCATATTGAAAATAGCCATCGGATAAGGGTTATAAGCAGTAATTTTAGAGACCAAATTCATGGGTATCTTGTAATTTTCTTGGTTGGGGGGCTATCCTGTAATTTGAGTAGTCAGCGTATGTCTTATTTTATTATTATTATTATTTTTCTAAATCAAGTTATAATCAAAATGTGGCCGTTAAAGAGCAGTTAGGCACCGATGGAAAGTTGCTACACACTTCCTTTTTAAAAAAATGTAAATTTTAATCAAATATACGAGTTATTGTACAATCTAATATGATTTATATTCTTTATAAACATGATTTTATCTCACCGACTATACTACTTCTTACCTGTTTGACTAAGCTTACAAAAATGAAATTTTAAGATTAAAACATCCCAACCCCAGGTTCCCGTAACAGAGGACTGTTGAAAAATAAATAAATTCATGAGATACTCTCGTATTATTAATTTATAATTATGAATTGGTGTTTATTTAAATATTTTTAATTATAATTTGTATATTAAATCATATTTTTAACGTGAATTAAAAGGAAAAAAAAAAAAAACTTACTTTCGGATTTCCAGTTTGCACTCTTGCTTGTAAAGTGATACGAGACAAAGATCCACACCAACTTTTGATTGGATGTGCATAAAATTTGCCTAAGAATCAGGAACTGTAGTAATCTTAGGTTAAAAATACCATATCTTTTTCGTTGTGTAAAGAAGACCTATGGCATAGGCCTGCAAAAAGGAAAAATGGCGAACTCGAAGAGGGAAGTCACGAGATATTTTTTTCATCAAACTACGAATGCATATCACATACACTAACATATATCCATAAACATTTTCTCTAATCTTTTTCTTTGTAAATATGTGAATGGTTTTCCTACGAAACTCCAATTCAAATTTCCTTACGTTGAAGAGCTAAAGGCCAAAATGCCTACAACGGCTCGTACGTTGTTTATGACAGTGGATTGGTTAAAAAGCAAATGATAAAAAAGTCACTGTTATTTTATACATTTGTTAAAGCAGATGCACCGTTACTCTTGACTTTTTTCATGGCCGCTACTTTTTTTCAAAGCTCATTTTTTGTGAATCTCTTTAAATAAACACACTGCTCAAGTGCTTATAACATGATGGTAGGGACTTATTCACGCGATTCAATAACCGATTTAAAAGTTATAAGCACTTTGTGTCGACGCTTGCATTTGTCGTTGAATTAGAAGAGAATATCATTGTTTGAATTATTAAAAGATAATGTTATATACAACACTGTATTCAACAATTTACATATATGTGTGTGTATTTCATGAATATATATCCAATAACAAAAAGATGTTTAGAAAACATTATTTCGAGGAGAAATGTATTATTGTGGAACGTATAATCAATAGAGTTGAAGTTTGTGTTTAATTATAAGATGTATATGTGTAGATAAAAGTTTAGCTTGTTTCCTTGACCCTCAAGCTTTTAATGGGGCATAAAAATTTAGGATCCGTTTAATGCATTTACTACTTTTAAGTTTTGAAGCCTTTTAAAAAACAAGTTTATAATTTTTAATTTTGACACTAAATTTTAAATTAAATTTATTTAATGGTAGAATAATAATGAGAATGAAAATATAAAAAGTGGTAAATAATAATGATAGTAATTACAATAATAACTATATTAATAGTAATAAGATTTAATAATAACATTAGTAGTAAAAGTGACATAAATATTAATAATAAGATATATGATGATATTCGTTAAATAAATAATCACGACTGTGGTACGTATGATTGTTATGAATGTTGTTATAGCCACGAGAAAGGTAATAATAATGGTTGAAATAGCAATTATAATGATAATCCGTGCTATTGTGAATTTTAAAACATATGTTGCTTACTGAATTTCAAAATAAAATTTTGATCCAATTTAGACTATGAGTTACTAGTAGATTAGAGGTGTCAATTATGAATATTAGGCCTTCTTGTTATGATCTAATTTTAATGAATTGTAAATATTAAAAATATATATACATCAGTCAAATAAAATTTATTATAAATAAATTTAAAAATATTAAATTATTGGATTATAATATAAATTATTTCTTATGTTTTTTTTATTTATTCTTTTCCATGACGTGCTACTCACAAGTTTACCAGTGATTATTCTGTAATTGGTAGAAGTTTCTTAATATTTAAACTCCTAAAAAAGAGTCATAAGTTTGGATTAGATAAGCCTCACCTAACTAAGGGTAGCCACTGAGATTACAGCAGCAAGTCAAAGTCACATCCTACCAACCGTCTGAAATATTTGTGCTCATACCAAATTCCATTATTTATTTATTTTTCTAAATTTAGATATATATTTAAAATTAAGAAAAATTTTAGTACATTTAATTGACTTCATTTTTCACAATAAAACAATTCATTGATTCTTTCGCACATTGTTGTTACAAATACACACAACAATTTTAATTAAATACCTTAAGCAAGTATCAAATTTGTGTTACATGTAGATTTGAAAATTAGGAAATTTTTCGTGAATTTGATGAATATAGTTAAATTTTAAAAAATTCAAGAATTAAGAAACTTATTATTTAAAACAATACTAAGTTAAATAAATAAAATATTTAAATTAACATTTAATTATGAAATTTAAGTGCTTGGTGCAGTAAAAGTTATTTAGAATAAGAAGGAAGATAATCAATACTTAAAAATATTTTCGTTTAACTCTTTAAATACTCTATGAATTTATTATCTTTAAATAAATTTAATTATCTCTCATCACTTACATTAATAGTATAATTCAATTTTTAAATTAAGAGTACGTAAACTTATTATTTTTTTATACCATGTTACATACAGACTGTTTTTTATATGAAATAAATTTTTTTTAATTATATTTAATATAATAAAATATTATTACTATTATTATTGACAATTCTTTTAAAATATATTAATTTTTAAAAAGTCATCCAATGTACTTTTTATTCAAAATCTTGTTTTAATTTAACAACGTTTCTACAGTGCAAAAACTATTTAATATAAAAAATAAATGTGAAACTAAACCCTTTGCTTATTAAACAGTTTTTTACGTGTATTTAAGAATACATATTAAAAAATTGGTAAATAATATTTTTTTTCAAAAGCATAATATTTAATATTATGAATATAGTAAATTACATATTTTATTAAATTTTAATATTAATTTATTGTATATAAATTTTATTATATGTCATACATTAAAATATATTATTTATAAAATTAAATTGTTGTTCTATGGTCCTATCTAACAGGGGACTTTACTAATTAATAAGATTTAAAGTAATCCCCTCTTGAACATGTTATGATATAAATTCTAATCCTCTTTAAGGCCTTCAAAATTGTATCAGCATAGTATTAATGAATCCCCCAGCCGCAAGGACTAGAGCATCCCTCTCTCTGCTGCACCATCCCTTACTACAGGTATAAAAATTATTAAATTATAAAGTAATTCTATAATATACATTTTAATTAGTAAGACTTTCACTTGCTGTAAATAAAATATTAAAATGAAAATTTTAAAATAAATTTTAACAAATAATTAATTAGTATATTTAAGATATTGATTAAAATTAAAAGTATTTCTTAGTAAAAATACACAACCCTATTATGATTTTAAATAAAAAATATTGATTAATCTTTAACCAGTGTATTTGGTCTGTAACAAAAAAATTCAGGCATTTTCTTTACAGAACAAATATTCTTCAATCATGTACTTGGTAACCAACACAATAATATTTTAACATTAAAATAAAATAAAAAAATACCTGTCAGAAAAAAATAATTAGAAAAATAGAAGAAGAAAAAGAAAGAAGTAGGAGAAGAAACGTAATGCCTAGAAAGCGGCCAGAAGAGAACAGAAGAAAAGGGGCAGAAGACAAATCAGAAACTGCAAAGGAAATGAACAAAAGGATTCTCTATCTCCGCCATTCTTCACCGAACCCCTTTGTACGTTCAATTTCTCAATTTTCGTCTCATTCACACGCTATCTGTATGACTCTGCTTCAATTATTGCTTCTCTCGCAACACCATTTAATCTATGGTTTCTCTGATCATTTAACTGTTTCACGCTCCGTTCATATTTGTTCAAATGACACCTATTCGTTCATTCGTTTTTTTAATTTACCTTTTTCGGTTTGTTTCACTGATCATGTCAATAATCGAATTATATGCTGTCGTGGGAATAAACTTGCCGTTGGAATTTTATCAGCTATGTACTTGTTTTGCTCAATCATTTCTTTGTAAGAGAAATTAAAATGACTAAAATCAGAGTGAGATTTTTGTTTTCTGTAGGTCAACCGAGTCTGGTTTTGTGCAATTGGCATTGAACTTGAACAATTTTGGTTGCTTAACTAGTTCGTAATATGTTTGGATGGAGGAGTTTGGAGGGAAAGGGAGACAAGATTAATTTTTCATTTTTTAAGTTAAAGAATATTTAAATGTTTGAAAACATGAATGCGGGTGACTAATTTAATAAATTGATAATCTTCCGTTTTGAATAATTATCAATTGAGGATAATGTTTACTTAAAATGAAAAATTACCCCTCCTTCTCTTCCCCACCAAACTCATCCATCCAAATATGCTCTTAAATGATTCAAATCCAGCCTTCTTAGGTGTTATGGCCTTCAATGGATTTGGAATTTGGGGAATCCTAAGTGCAATGTAATTGAAAATTCCTATGCTTGACTTATAGTAAGTATTTATTGTCAAAACTGATGCAGGTAGTATATGTGTTGCGATTCTACCAATTTGGTTGAGGCTCCGCATACACAACAAGGACCACCCTATTTTCTGCTCTGGACTCTATTCTGGACCTTTGCTTGAACTTAAACGCTTTGCACTCACTTTGGTCATTGATGTGGCCCATATACTTGCTATTCAACAAGATTCTCAATACAGGAGATGAAAGAGAATTAAAAGATGATAATTTGAATGCGATAGATCCGTACCTGTTTCAGCAGCCATCAAGTAACGTAGATTCCCATCCTCCCTCCTTATGCCAGTCACAATTCATTGAAGTAAGTACATATGATTTGTGGCTGACATCTTGTACTTTACATATTATACTACAAATATTTTCCTGTTGATTATATCTGTAATGAAGTTTATCTAATTATGCTTATAGGTACCACATGTAAACCAAGTATATACATGGGATTGTGGCCTTGCTTGTGTCTTGATGGTTTTGAAAACTATTGGTGTCAACAATTACAATATTCAAGCACTGGCCGAACTATGCTCCACAACTAGGTCTTTTCCTCTATAAAAGCTTAAAATTGTCGTTACTGTCTCTTATGAAATGCTTGAAGATCCTAGATAATATACACATGGCAATGTCTAATGCAACCAAGAAGGACGTATTGTTCAGAGTCTTCAGACTTCTTTAATAGTTTAAGAAAAGCAAAGTGCCTAAAGTAAGCACACTCAAAAAAACCCTGTGTAGGCCTCACTGTGGCTTCCACACAAAGTTGTGAGAATATACTCAGTAGGAATTTGCCTATGCAAGTATGTCTGTAGTCCTCCTCTTCCCTGTCTTTTTTTAATTGAAAACCATAAACAGTCTTAAATTGTTAATCAGGTGGAAAGGTTTCTTTGTTTCCTCACATTACGTTTTGGACCTAAGTATCATCAAATTTTGCGGACAAAAATACTGAATAAACGTATATGCTGAATTCTGATTAATATAATGATATTACCTATAACTAGCCTTCCTCCTTGGTCCCTTCGTCTTTTATTAAGCTCAGACTTCTCATTTGCATTTTACATCTTACCTAGTTACCTAAAGATAATTACATATATTGTATATTTTAATCCTTATTTGATAATTCCATGGTGGTGGTTGTTGTCATCATCATTATTATATACATTTTCCTTGCAAGGTTTTGTTAAAAAACCAACTATCACAAAATTTTTAGCTGTTAGGTGGAAAAAAAATTGAATAATTTCAATTTGATTATATTCCTAATACCTCTCCTGCAAGATCCCTTTAAAATTGGATTTGGACTTTGGATAATGCACAAGCTCCTTACATTGTGCTTAAATTCAACATGAAATGTTAAGAAAAACAGGGGTGGCAAGAGGCAAACAACGGCATTTGATTTACCTATGAATCTGAATCAAATGCTAAAACAGATCAATATCATGTGCCGAAATAAAAGACAGATGAATATTGTAATTCAATACGAAAATATATTACAAACTTCTGATTAGTCTCACTGTTTACTACTGCTTTGCAGCATTTGGACTGTTGATTTGGCGTATTTGTTACAGAGATTTTCTGTGACTTTTTCCTACTTCACAGTGACATTTGGTGCAAACCCAAACTACTGTGTTGAATCATTTTACAAGGTGATTCACTGTCATACTGAAATAGTAACAAGCTCTTTTAGTTTTTTTGAGTAAATCCCCAATATGGTATCAACTGATTTTTGAAACATCAATTGGTTCCTAAAATCATGATTTTTGGTCATTGAACAGTAACGTTTGGACTATTTTAATGTGATAACAGTATCATTTGAAGAGTATATTGATCTAGTAATCTTTTAACAAGCAAATTAATGTTCCAAAAATGTTTCAAGGGCCAAATGGGGGCTTACTTTGACTCTTATGTCTTTGTTCATGTCTGTGTAGTTGAAGAAATAGAAGATATAAGATTCTCTTTGAGTGGTTGAAATATGGATTCGAGATATATTGGTATTGGAGTTTTATCCAAGAGGACATTTTAAAAGGCATAGGGTTAGGCAATTCACCAGTGTTGACAGAAAAATGGACCTGTTTTGCCTAAATTGTACTTGAGCTTGGCTCTAGGTCTTATTGATAATCATGATTGAGTAGAACAGAGGTGCCAGTTCATAGGTTATGGCATGTTCAGTTTTATGATTGTCACTTTTGATGTTGGTTTATTGGATATTTTGAAATAACTATACCCTTCTTTTTATCTTTCTGTTGCATGCATTTAGTGCTTTGTCTGCCTATAGTGTCAAGTTGATAGGATTTTGTATTAAATACTGTATAGGAGGAATTGCCTAATGATCTAGTGAGAGTGGATACGCTATTTCAGAAGGCAATGGAGGCTGGAATTGATATACAGGTATTCTGCACTTCTTTTTATTGAATCCCTTCCCAAAAAAGTTTTGAGATTGTTACCTATTGGAGAAGAAAAAGGGGAAATTCTATAATAGCATTTCTTTCAATTAATGTTTTTATTCTTACATTTATCTTGGTAGGAAATAATTGAAGGATGTAAAATCAGTTGCACTCTTACTACAAACATTGAGCTCTGATTATTAGGAATTTTTTTTATAAAGCTTTATTTAGTGGTCTATGGAGGATTTGTCGGAATTGGACAAGTAGAACTTTGTGCTTGTTGTCTTCTCTTCTGTGTGGAGACATTGTATTTGCTTACGACCTTGGTGTTTATTCATAAGTAGTCAACAAACCTTTTCATCTTTTAACAGTGCAGGTCAATTAGTGGGGAAGAGATTTCAATTCTCATATTGTCTGGGAAATATATTGCTATTGCATTAGTTGACCACAGCAAATTGAGGTACAGATTTCTTATAAATCTTTCTTTCCTTTCTGGATTTAGTACTTGAATTGACAATAATTGTACAACATTTACATGCTTCAAATGCTACTACCAAAGATCATTAATTGACACACTTATTTTCAGAAAATTTAATATGCTACCCTGAATGTTCTGTAAAATCTTCACTATAGTGTTTTATTTTTCCTCAATAATGTCATTTTCTTTGGTTCTTTTATCGAACTCAATGGTATTGTATGATTCATGTAGCCCAACTCACCTAGTGGGATAAGGTTTAATTACTGATATTGTAATGTCATTTTCTTTGGTGATGGCCAATTCTATCTGCTTCTGAAAAGGTTCTGTTTCAGTCATGCGTGGCAAGAAGATGTTCAGGTCCCTGGTGTCTTCAGCAACAACTCTGGCTACACAGGTGAACAATTATATTTTAGTTTTAACATATTTTTAACTGTTTTGGATGTATTCTTTCCAAGTGGAAGAAGTTACTACCATACAACTGTCCTATACACGAGTTACACTCCTTTTGATTTGTTTAGTTTAACACTAGTGTGGTATGCATGCACTAAATGACTTCTTCATATGTTGGGTTTTGACTACTGTATAAACATATTATTGAATTTCAATATCATATAATATAATATTTATACACATTACATTAATTTAATCGTAATTTTGTATATAATATTATATATTGTACATATATATAGCTTATTGCTTGTTAATAAGTGTTGGAACATATTTGGATCCTAACTTAGGTAACTTTATCAAATAAAACTAAATGTTTCATATTAAACAAGTCACAGCTGTCTCTTAGAATAGTCAAGGCAACAAGGGATAACACCCAAGACTTGTAAGAAGGCATCTAATTTAGGCGTGGGAACTGTAATCCAATAAGTGGCTTGGTAGTATTTCCTCAAGCCTCAAAATGCGAGACACCATGGTTATCATAAGATGGAGAACAAATCTCATGACAACTGGACAAAATGATGCCTTTGATTGACTAAATTTCTACCTAATTCGATACATAACTTTGATTTTAGTGGGAAATTTTAAGATGGAGTTGCTAAATGGAGAAGAGAATATTTTAGAGAGAATCTAGAGGATGAAAATGGTCTCTTATTCTACTATCATTATGCAAAATATCCATATATATAGTCACTTTGTAGACATAGTGGAGGTACCATTTCCTTGGCTGAGAGTAAATGAGTGCCACTTCCTACTAATTTCGGAGTACTAAATGCATTTTAACATGTGAACATGTGATGCATGAGCTGCACATAAATCTAACAAGCTTAACATGGAAGTAGGACATCTTTTCATCATTGTTACACACCTCATGAGTTTGCAAACCCACCAATTTTCCTTTTCTCAATATTAGTTATTTCTCCTTTTCTTTCAAATCCACCCCCAACAAAACAAGTAATGTGTGTTTTTAAGGACAGGGAAGCTGATATATCTTTTATAGATCACACTGTATTGTATCTATATTAAGTTCAAAGACTGATAGATGATGTTCTAAAGTTCTAATTCTTGAACTCCAAGATTATGCTTTTTACAACAATGAATAAGAGCTTATTTTCTAACATGAGAAACCAGGCAGTATCCTCAACTGATTTATACTTCTGTTAGTATCCATCCCATCATTCTGAAACTAATCAATTTATTAAATCAATTAACAAGCAGAAAAATTCTATTGGCAGGGCACTACGTTTTGCTATGTGGTTATGATGCTGGAGCAGATATGTTTGAGATTAGAGATCCTGCCAGCTCTAAGTATCCTCTTTTCCCTCCTTCTACTTCTGGATTTATGTTAAAATTTTCTGTACAACAATATTTTACTGTTATTAAGATCTTTACCATCACATGTGGATCATAAACATGACAATTGGATCCATAACTCATTTAATCATTTAGTCAACGTTTTTTTTCCTTTGAGGAAAAAAAATCTTAGAGCATATAATGCACGTATAAAATTTGGTAAAATTGCATAAATAAGAAATATTTATTTCTCTGAATGGCACCATTTTTTCCATGTTCACCGTTATTTCCATGTCATTGTGACAAATCCACAGAGAATTCCACTTTTTTCAATAATTTTGTGTTGGCATCTAGGGGTTATTGTAATGAATAATGAGTCTTCAAAGCGTCATTTAACATAGTTGCTTCTAGTTTTTTGTCTCTTGGACGAAAAACTGAAGAAAAGAAACTTAGTTTATGTTAAGTTAAATCATATGGCTTCTTCTACTGCATGGGTATATAATCATATGAATCAAACAAGAATTCATAATATGAAATCTAAAACTTTTGAGAACCTGAGAGGAAAAACATTGTACAGTAGAGTTTTCTAATGAAATGGACAAAAATAAATGTTTAGTGAAGCAGTCCTAGAATAGAATTTATTTTCTTCATACTTACTTTGTTATGCATTCTGCATTAAATAAAATAAGTTCAATGAGGTATTTAAGCCATGGGGCTCTCCTACCTAATAGACTAATCTTTTGAATTGAACTCTCTCCTAATGTGCTTAAGCATTAACCCAATTATTCATTGTTTTCTCATATAAGCTGCATCCACTCTGTTGAGCATTCATATTTGTGTGGTTCTTAAAAGAAAGTTCTTTCCAGTTCCAATGTTCATGACATTTATCCAGGCAGTGGATGTTTAATGATACTGATAATGGTTCCATTTTGATTGTATCATTGGTATTGTTTGTTAAGCCTTCTGTTTTAGTGGATAAACGATCTGTTTCCTTAACTATGTTGTTTGAGCATGCTAACTGTTTAGAAGGGTCAGGGTGCTACTGTCAGTTATGGTTACAATTTTGGCTTATGAAGTTCAATCTATCAAGTTTGCACATACTGCTTCTATAACCATTAACCACATATTTGATGAAATAACCTGCCAGATCAGACTAGTAGCATAGGCAAACAAACTCTCCCTCCGGTGCATCAATTTTAGATGTCTACTTTCATGCCTTAGATGACGAAAACCATTTGTGTGGGTGTTCTTAATATTTTGTGTAATGCCTCATGGTTATAGCTTGATTCCTTTTCACTGTAGACTTTACTGATATAGCAAAGGACTCAAACAAACGAGTGAAATGACATCGGTCAAATCATTATTTTTATTTTATTAATTTTCAAAAACAATATGCTGGAATATGACAAACATCTGCATATTATTTGAGTGGATAAATTATTGCCTAGTTCTTTTTGTCATGTTGATCCTAAAATGAGAGTTGATTGGTCATCTTTAGAAATTCACAAATTTGAAATTCCCTGAAAATATGCAGGAAACATAAGAGGATCTCTTCGAAGTCCTTAGAAGAAGCTCGCAAAGCCTTTGGTACTGATGAGGACCTTCTGTTGGTAAGTTAATTCATCGTATACTTCTTACATATTTGTGTGAAATAATAATTGCTTTTTCTTGCATGGCCAAGCAGATATCTTTGGAGAATAGCACTACCCTCCATCAACCTTCTCTGCAACTTTCCATCGATGTCAATACCTATTCTTGATTTTTCTTTCCCTGTTTTGCAACGGTTTATGAGTTGTATTGCTGCATTTTGTTTTGTTTTTTTTTTCTCTTTTTTGCATATATAGCATATTCCTTGTGTATTTTAGGTGCCACATTTAGTTTTTTTGTATTTCTATTCCAGTAAAAACCTCTTGAAATGGTTTCTTCTGGGTTGTACGCATTTTGTAGGTTTACGCAAAACTGTATAGTAAAATGTCAATTCATTCTAATCTGTGTATTCAGACAACTGTAATTAGTGTAATGTCTTTAATGGATTCGGAGTTCAATTGCATTCCTCCACCTGCATAAAATGTTTCCATAACCATCGGATAACGTGACATCGGTCTTCTTTATTAATAATTCTTTAGGTAGATTATTGTTCAGCTTACCTTTTCTTGTAATTATGAACAAATTCAATACGGTCACTCATAACAGGTGAATACTATCTAGTAGGAAGGTTTCCATGATCATAGCAATGGCACTACAGAAGACAAGATTGCTTCAGGTATTATCTTTTCAATAAATGCATCTGATGCCACCATTTTTTCAGTGAATTTCGTACTCATTCATGACATGTTCGACGTACCATTAAACATTAAATGCATCCTCTGTCATTTAACGTGTTTTACTCTGAATATATGAATGCGTGTATTATATTATATTCTACACATATAAACACTCGCACATGCGAGAGGTAAGTGGATGCAGTCCTGGTTTCGGGGCTTTTCGCCATTTGGCTCGGGTTTTGATACTATTTCCTAAAATATGGATCTAGTTGTGGAGCTCATTTAAAAACTAGAACAATTTTATCAGCAAGCAAGCATGGTTAAGATTCAATAATTATATTATTGGTGGCTATGTTATTGCTGTGTTTTCATCGAACAATTGTTGTCATAAGTGATTAATTTTTTTGTGAATGACGGTGGTGGAGGCATGGTGATGGAAGAAATGAGTTGGTCAAAACGGTGATAGATTCTGTCGTGTAAGTGGAACTCACTTTTCCAAGAATCTTCTAAAAGTGTTTCCCGACACACCGTCTCTTTCCCGCGGAACAACGAAACATGCTCGTCCATAACTTGTTTTTATCAAATTAAATATTAGGACTTCGTTAATAAGTACTTCCTGAAAATAGTTAAAAACAAAAATATTAATGCAAATAATAGCAAAATATTAGAGAAAGAATAATAACAACATATTATTTTAATTCTTTTAACATAGCTACGTTTATTTTAGGGGGAAGGCGGGAAAAGAGGGCCAAAGCCCAACTTTAGCTCAACCCTAAGTTCATACTACATAATGCCATGATTATATCCGATTATTATTTAGAAGAACTAGATAAAAATAAGACTTTATCATATTTTTTATTCTTATAAAAGTGGCCCCTTTAAAATTAATCATTAAATTTTTTTTATAATTTAATATCTAGTATAGTAACTAATAGTAACTAGTAATTGTTATGGATCTAGATTTTTTTGCTATTTTGCAAAGAACTTAGTTTTCAGTTTAAATTTGCTTAAATAAAATACAGTTTACTTTAAATTTGTTTAAACGAATTTGGTAAAGTATGATTTTAGCTTTAAGTAAAAAAAAATTGTTTAAGCAAATTTAATAAAAAAGTAATTTTTGTTTAAGCTAAAATTATAAAAAAAAATTAAAATTTCATCTTTTTCTTTTCTAAACGAAAGAAAAATTAAAAAACATTTGTAAAAATTATGTAGTCACACTTTATGGTCATATTATAAAATTTTAAGTGTTTTAAAATATGTAATAATATAAATATTTCTTAACTAATTTTTTAAAATTATTATTTTTATAATTCTTATCATTATTTTCAATAATTTAATTTAATTCCAAATAGTTTTATCAAACTAATATTTAGTACATCTAGTATACTAAATAATATATTTAGAATATTTAGTGTGATGATAAAATAAAAAAAAATTATAATTTAAAAAATAAGAAGATAAAATTTTAAATTTTTTTACAATTTGACCTTAAACAAAAATTATCTTTACATTTAATTCATTTAAGCAAATTTATGAGTTAAATTAAAATATTTTTTCTTTCAAATTTAGCTTAAATGAATTTAGAGATCTACAGGTTCCCCCAAAAGCGCGGACCCCAATGGTTACTGCTCATCATTATTTTGTGCAATAAATAAATATTATTCAATTAATTGGTGGTAAATATTAATGAGAATGGTGCGAATGAATTGTCCGTGTGGTGCAGAGCTACAAGTTGGAGAGTACAAGGATATACTTCGACCGTCTCCATTGGCTGTTCATCCTACTAGCAAATTTGGATGGGTTGCAATACTTGGGTTGACTTTTTTGAAAGAGATTCAATCCCAAAATCAAAAAAAGACAGAGAAACCCTGGAATTTTTTTTTTCTAGGGCTCTATTTCGTGGCGTTCAAAAGTGGAAGCCTCCAGATTTGAGTGTTTCGTGAAATCAAACTCCGATTACGATTGGTGCGAGTTGGAATTTGCACGCCGGGAAGGAGTAAAAATGGAAATGAGTTTGAGGTTAGTGAAAATAGCTGGTTTTGGCTAAGCTGAAGCCACGACGATGCCGTAAAATGGGTGAAACAGTGTCGTGAGAGGATGAATGATGAAGAATGTTTGTAGAGGAAGAGAGCCGAGAGAGTGAGCAAGGTGCTGCCAGATAAGGATACACTTTTACGCTGTAGTTTTATATGATAGGATTTTTATTTTATTTTTAAGAATATTTCAAATTTTCCTCTGCTTAAAGTACTTATAAAGATACTCTAATAATAAAGTTAATTCTTGATATAAGACAATAAATATTATTTTATATTTTAAAATTCTCTCTTGTCATTTTTACCTTTTTTATAGATATTATATTGAGTTTTAGTAGGTTAATCCTAAATTATTATTTTGATTATTTAATTAATTATTTTATTTTGTCTATTAATTTATTTTAATTTTGATGTAATTGAAAAAGTATAAATACTCTTCGTCTTGAAATACAGTTGAAGGGGTATTTATTTTTAAATTAACTTTTGTGTGATAAAATATTAAATGACAGTAATTTTAAATATTTTAAAAAGTAAATTTAAAAAAAAATTAAAAGACAATATTCTTATACGAACTAAAAATATAAAAATAAAAAAAGGCAATGACATTTTTATCTGCTTACAATAATTGTAACATTTACTGGTTAAATCAGACATCACTTGTGCTTGTCACTCGTCTGTTCTTCAGAGGTTACTTTCCCGCTGTTGCCGGTATTACAACATGTCCGCTGTCAAATAGTAGTTTCTTGTTTTTTTTTTTTTTTTTCCCTAGTATTTCTCACTTTTATTAGTGATACTGTTTCACACTCTTTGAAACACTCTTACATGCACGCGGCACGTGCACACACAAATGCGTAATGAACAACTTTGTAAAACCAGTATCCTTTTTTTTTCCCTAAAATGATACTTGTTTTTGTTTTAAATGTTCAATATAAGATTTTTCTGATTCAATTTTTTCCATGGGAGTAAAAAACACAAAAATGAAACAAATGCACTTAACAGTTGTCACAAATTTCCTTATATTTCGTACATTCTTAAATATAAATAAACCTATTCATCACTGGGACAAATTCTCAAATGATGATTTGATAAAAGTTTACAAGAGTCGAAGAGACAAACTTCTATTCAAGCCATAATTTAGAAATTTCATAATCGAAAACCAAACATGATCAAGTGTTCGGAACACCATCATCGAGATCCATTATAACAATGTCAAAAGTTGTCAACGATAAATGCGAATCAATCGTCAAGGCGCACCTAACTTGGACAAAAAAAAAAAACGTAATGATACACATATTTTTCTGTATCACAAACAATACTCATAAGAGATCATTTTATTTAAATTAAATAGAGTTATAATAAATAACCGTTCTTTTCAAATATTTAATACAGTTATATTTTAAAAAATTCAAACTCAATGCTATTACGTTGTTACTCTAAATTTTTTAAAAAATGAATATGATTTGTTGAATAAAATAATAATAAAGTGAAGTGGATAATGAAAGTGGAGGCATGTGCAGGCTTAGGTGCTGAGCATGAGTGTAGCACAGAGAGGAGTACATGAATTTTCATAGAAAAAGTAAAAGGAAGATCACAGTAGCCCATGTTACAAAAAGTTTGAGACGAAGACATCTCTCTATCATCTTAACACGAATCATTGTCCTTTTGCCGGAATTGGCTATCCATTTGTTTAATATTTACATAGTGAAAGTGGTGGTCCAAATTCAATGGATAAAAGAAATACATTTATACACACATTAACGATTATAATATATAGAAGATCCAAATATTTGATTTTCTTAAGTCATAACAGCTTCCCTGTTTGGTTGTTTGTTGCCTGTAACTATTGTACTGTTTTTTTCCCCAATCTTTGATGTCTCTATGCCTTAAACTCAAATGGGTGAGAGGCAGAATGTGTGTATGTACACCAATAAAGCCAAATTCAACGCACCCATTATTCGGCAGATCTATTATACTGCTCTGCATGCTATGCCTATGTCCTGTTCGTGCCATCACCAGATTTTAATGAAAACGACGGTGATTTGAATATCTCCTCCTTCTATTCTTTTTATTTTTCATTCTCCTTTTCGGTTATATTCAAATAAAAATGTATCATGTGTTTGAGAAAATAACATAAGCTTCAACTTAATTCTGCTTGCGCCTTTTGTTCAGACTATTAATGTAAGCTAATTCAAATAAAAATTTGCATGAACCACGAATAATTTATCTGTAACTAGAGTGGCTTATGGAGAATGTAGAGGCTACAATTTGAATGTCGAGGGTAATTACTTAGAGACAGTATCAATGACGTACTATTATTATGTTACGCTAATAAATATTATTTTTTTTGTATTAAAAAGAAATGTAATTATTGAATACTTTAAATCTCGAGTTGTTGAAGAAAATACTGAGATAAGTTATTTATACCATTCATCTTGTAGTTTCAACAATTCATCATTTTAACCCTTTTAACTCAATTCAATCTTCAGTTTATGTAAGTTTAATCTTCTATCTTTGCTTTTATGCAAATTATTTGTCAGTTCAATTGTTGTTCTTTTTTCTCTTCTCTTTCCTTTGTTTTTATTATGTTCTACTTGTTATATAACATTAATAAAATAAATGTATGTATATAAGTTTTTGACGCAGAACGAGACACATACTTAGTTGCTATTTGCTTAATTACTTTCTTCTGCTTCTATATGAGTTTTTGCTAGTTTACCAGAAAAATTCTTAATTTATGCCTTTAT